AATGACAAATTTTCATATTTACTTTTTATGAATTCTATGAAAGGTACTGGATATTGTCCTTTAATGTTTCCATAAAATATTAATTTATTTTCATTACCTATAGCTATAATTGGTCTTATTGATTCTTCTCTATTACTCTTCTCTATTACTCTGCTTTACTTATAAAAATTAAAAGTAAATTTAGAAATAGAAGCCCTTAGACTTTTATCGGTCTGATAAAATCGATTAAAAACAAAAACAAACTGTATGAACAAATAAAAAATAACCCTTTCAATGACAATGTATCTAAGGATTTCAAAGAATATGAAAAACACTTAGATTATTCAATTTGAAAAAATCAAAAATTGTAAGAAACATCTCTGGAAATGCATCAAAGAGGCATATCAACTGAAAAAACGGAGATGAAAATCTTGAATGACTCCAGAGGAAATACAATAACAAATAAAATAACTCCAGAAAAGGTTCACAAAGCGATTTTTAGTCCCAAATTTAAAAAAGCACCTGGGTATGACAACATATTCGCTGAAAGGCTGAGATGTAAAGCAAAAAATATAGGACTACCTTCTACTCATATTATTAATACTTGTATATAGAAGGCGGCTATTTTTCCTCGTTCATTTAAAGTAGCAGTTTTCTCCCCATTTTATAAAACAGGCGAAAAAAAAGATTAGTTGAAGATTGTAGGGTTATATCGATTATATCAAGCTTGGCTGAGGTTCTCTAAAAAAATATTGAAGGACAAAAGCATTGGAAAATATTGGAATTCGGGAAAATAATATATCTTCGTTAACTAGCTATTCAAACGAGAGGAAAGAACATGTTGAAATTGGAATTGAGAAGAGTACAGTTAAAAAACTGAAACTTGGAGTTTCGCTAGGGACGATACTTAGGCCATTGCTATTCAAAATATTAATTGTGAATAGCATATTTATTCATATTCATGAATGACTTATTTCACTTACTCATCAGATGAAATATCATATTATCACTAAATATTCACAAAATCTGAAACATTATAACACTTTGAGCATGTACCTCTCAGATGAGCATGTAGAGATAATGGGACAAGGAAGTATTAAATATCTGGGAATAGTTATTGATTGTCACCTCAGATGGGACGTATATGTAAAAAAATTATTTGGCAAAATAAGACGATTATCTGTGAAATTTCAAGCATGTTCACAATTTTGTAACTTCAATCAAATAAGAATACTCCACTATGCTATCGTTCACGTATGCTGGCATACGTGATAATTGCTTGGGGTGGCCTTATCAACAACTATCCCAATAAACTGGATATTGACTAAAAACGGATCATAAAAATTATTCTCAAAAAAGGTTTCAGATATTTCTCAGACTGACCATATCAGTATAACTGTTTCTCTAACATTCAGCAATTGTATTTCCAAACGATTTTACTGAAACTTTTTGATTCGAAATTGGAACAATTACACAACACAGAAAAATCCAGATTGTTTGTCATGAACCCACGACCACCTAAACTTCATTTGTTGATTAAATTACACAAAGATAACTACCTGTTTAGGTCGGTAATTTTATTTGCCGCAGCTCCTTCAGTTAAAATATTCGAAAAACTCATTCAAAACCACACTAATTTCAAATCAAAATTCAGTTTGAAGAATGCATACCAATGATCAATGAAATTGAAGATGTTATGCTCCCGGAAAATTCCAAATTGACTTCATTCGATGTGAAGAATCTGTTTCCCAGTATCCCTCTGAATGAAACGATTACTTTTGTAGAGAATCTATTGGACGAATTTTTTACTCATCCCGCAAAGGTCTCATAATGGAAAAACCAGTTAGTCCGATTCTGGCAGATTTTTCCAT